GCAGCACCTCCTCTCGTAGACCTGCACACATACTGCAGTTGGTGTGATGTATATGAATCATCTCTAGGAGGCTTAGAGGCCTTCCTTGGCCGCCACGGCAGCTCTCCCTTTACCTCAACCAGCAGCAGCAGCAGCAGCAGCAGCAGCAGCAGCAGCAGCAGTTTGTTTGAGCGCGGGGTCTTCGTATGCTTAGAGGAGGGCAGCATCGTACGCCTCCCCAAGGTAACGGAGTCGGCGCTGCAGCAGCTGCTTGAAGCAATCAGCAAAAAGTCTGCTGCTGCTGCTGTTGCAACACTTGCAGCTCTCCTGTGGCAGCCGCAGCAGCAGCGCCAGTGCATCAGCAGCAGCAGCAGCTGGAACCGTCATACACCAGCCTCTATACAAAAGGCAATCCGCAGCTACTTGCAGCAACAGCAGCAGCAGCAACAGCAGCAGCACCGGCAGCAGCAGCAGCAGCACCGGCAGCAGCAGCAGCAGCAGCAACCATCCAAGGGATAGACTTTGGAGACGGAGATGTTTTGCTGCTGCCCTCTACAGGCACCAGGACTTTAACCCACCATTTACCCCGCTACGTAGGAGGCGCTACTGCTGCAGCAGCAGCTCCTGCTGCAGCAGCTCCTGCTGCTCCTGCTGCAGCAGCAGCCCCTGCAGCAACAGCAGCTGCCGCTGCAGTTGGTGCAGCATCAGCAGCTCTTATAGCAGCAAATGCAGCAGAGGAAGCAGCTCCCGCAGCAGAAGCAGCAGCTGGTTCTGCTGCTGCTTCTGCTGCTGCTGCTGCTGCTGCTGAGGAGACACCTGAAGACATGTGGGGTAAGGGTGGCGCTGACGAGTTTGTGCTGCGGCTGCGGCGAGAAGAGTTTGGAGTAGATATTGACAGCAGCAAAGCTGCTTCAGGATCAGCAGCGTCATCATCAGCATCAGAAGCAGCAGCAGCTGCTGCTACAGGCCCTGCTGCAGCAGGAGCAGCAGCAGGAGCAGCAACCGAAAAGGAGACGCTTGTTGCTGCTGTGCTGCAGCGGCAGCGAGAGCGGCTCACCCGTGCTGTGCAGCGTTTAGCTGCTGATCTATATTCGTCTGAGGGGCATTTGCAGCTGGAGCTGCTGCAGAATGCGGATGATAATGTGTATTTGCTGCCTCTACCTTTACCTCCTGCTGCGCTGCAGCAGCAGCAGCAGCAGCAGCAGCAGCTAATGCTGCGTATCGCTGCTCTCTCTCTCCCCTCCTTGCACTTTGAGCTGCTGCAGCAGGGTATTGCTGTCTTTAACAATGAGAGAGGGTTTACACCAGCAGACCTCAAAGCCCTATGTGATGTAGCGCGCAGCACTAAAGACCCTCTGCTGCAGCAGCAGCAACAGCAGCATCAGCAGCATCAGCAGCATCAGCAGCATCAGCAGCATCAGCAGCATCAGCAGCATCAGCAGCAGCAGCAGAAGAAGGTGCGCCGCATAGGGCGTTTCGGGGTAGGCTTTAAATCTGTGTTTAATATGTCTGATGAGCCGCACATCTTTTCATGTGGGGTTGCAGTTAAATTTTTAGCATATGACAGCAGCGGCTTGGGTTTTGTGCTGCCGCATTTGCTGCCTTCAAGAGACTGCAGCAGATTTATTCCGATTGAAGCCATCAGAGGCTCCCTACTCGCAGCACAACACCCTCTACCCTTACTTCAAAACTGCTGCAGCAGCAGCAGCAGCAGCAGCAGCAGCAGCAGCAGCAGCAGTAGTGGTGGTGGTGGCAGCGGATGCTGCTGCTCCTTATTGGTTTCCACTTCAGAGCAAACAGCAGCAGCAGCAACATCAGCAGCAGCAGCAGCAGCAACAGCAACAGCAACTGCTGCTGCTGCTATGCGCATCTGGCGTACTATCATATGGCTACCGGTGCGCCCTGAGCTGAAGGCGAAGTGGGTGCAGCAAGGAGACAGCAGTTTGCTGCAGCAAGGAGACAGTAGTTTGCTGCAGCGTCTGTCTTATATTGAGCCTCACTGTCTCCTTTTCTTGCGGCAGATACGCAGGGTGTCTCTGCGCTGCCAGCAAAACAAAAGCTGCTTCTTGCTGCTGAAGCACACGCTGAACTCCATCGATACTGCTCTCTTCCAGCAGCAGCAGCAGCAGCAACAGCAGCAGCAGCAGCAGCAGCAACAGCAGGTGTATGATTTGCCGAGTTATGCGCAGCACATTGTGCTGACATCCTGCCGTCGGTCGTTGGGCTCTAATCCGTCGCTGCTCTGTGACTATTGGAGCTGCTGCAGCAGCAGCAGCTCCAGCAGCAGCAGCAGCAGGGGAGGAGACAGTAGCTGCTGGCAGCAGCAGCAGCAGCACTGGCTGCTTGTACAGCACCAACCAGAGGGGTCTCCTCCTGCAGCAGGGCCTTATGAAGAGCCCATCGCAATTGCTCTCCCCCTGACTCCCGAGGGATTTGCTGCACCCACTCCAGCAGCAGCAGCAGCAGCAGCAGCAGACATCAGCAGCAGCAGCAGCAGCAGCAGCAGCAGCAGCAGCAGGGGGTGGCCTCTGCATTGCTTTTTGCCTGTGAGGGGCTTTGGTCTTCCCTTTATATTGCATGCAGCATTTACTCTAACAGCTTCGCGAGAAGACTTAAGGGGTGGAGACACGTGGAACATGTGGCTGCTGCAGCAGCTTCCTGCTGCTGTTTGCCGCGCCCTGTCTGTCTGTAAAAATGCTCAGCCGCAGCTGCAGGAGTCTCTGCTGCTGTTTGCTCCGCTGCTGCTGCATGCTGCTGCAGCAGACGGATCTGCAGATATGATTGCAGATGCTGCTGCTGCTGCTGTTGCTGCTGTAAAGCAGCTCGACTGCCTCATGGCTCTTAACCCTGCCTTTCGAGTGCCGCAGCAGCAGCAGCAGCAACAACAGCAGCAGCAGCAGCAGCAGCAGACTGTACAAGCTGCTGCTCAGGACTACATATGGTGCTGCCCACCACGCGCAGTGCTTCCTTGCGGTGTTGCAGCTGAAGGCGCCTTCGGGCCTTTTGCTGCTGCTCCTGTGTCTCTTTCCAGCAGCAGCAGCAGCAGCAGCAACAGCAGCAGCAGCAGTCCTGCGGGGTGGCCAGTCCCTCCCTGGTTGCTGCAGCAGGCTTTAGGTCGGGTGTACGTACACCCGAGAGTTCTGCAGCATGTGCAGCCATCTACACTTCGTTTATTGGGGGTGAAGGATTTGTCTTGCTGGGATATTGTAGATATTCTGCGGTGTATAGCCAGGTTGCAGCAGCAGCAGCAGCAGCAGCGAGAGCAGCAGGAGCAGCAGGAGCTAGAGCAGATACTGCATCCGCAGGGAATCGGTCGGCTGCTGCTGCTGCTTGAGAGTGTCTGCATGCAACAGCAGCAGCAGCAGCAGCAGCAGCAGCGGGCAGCAATGAAGGCCCTCAGGAGCATTCCTTTCATACCTACCAGTTGTGGGGAGTTCGTAGCAGCAGACAGCACAAAGGCGCTGCTGTGTCTTCCTCCGCATGCAGCTGCAACGGATGCAGCTACAGAAGCAGCAGCAGCAGCTGCTGCTGCTGCTGCCGCAGGCGTAGATTGCACTGGAGATGAAGCTGGGGGCAGCACCACTGGAAGCCCGCTTGTGGTGTACGTACACCCCGGGGTCTTTGAGCCCTGGGTGACAGCAGCAGCAGCAGAAACCCAGCAGCAGCAGCAGCAGCAGCAGGAGCAAGTGCAGAAGGTGGGGGTGGAGCAACAGCCGCAGGACGAGCAGCAGCAGCAACAGGATCAGCAGCAGCAGCAGCAGCAGGTGTTTGGGGATCGTCTGCTGCAGCGATCCCGCGTGGTGCGGTGTCTCCGCAGCTTGGGCATTGACTTCATGCAGCCGCAGCAGGTGCTGCAGCAGCGGTTGCTGCCGCTGCTGCAGCAAGATGGGTTTAGAGAGACAGCAGCAGAGAGTCAGCTTGTGGATTATCTTTTCTTTCTCGTATACCACTGCCGCAGCCTAGCAGCAGCAATAGAGACAAACAGCAGCAGCAGCAGCAGCAGCATCAAGCAGCAAATACTCCAACTACCTGTCTGTACACACAAAGGCACTCGGGTGCCGTTGGGGTCTCCCTTGCTGCGGTGTCTTTGCGGGGAGGAGACGCGCAGCAAGCAGCAGCAGCAGCAGCAGCAGCAGGAGCTGGAACAGCAGCAGGAGGGGATGCTGCTGCAGCTGTATAAAGAGCTGCTGCCCGATTGTTTGTTTTTATCTGCTGCATACACCCCAGTTGTCTCTCTTCCTTCATGGAGACGCTTTTGCACCCTGCTGGGGCTGCAGCGTCTCTTGCATGTCTCGTCTCTCCTCTATTGGCTGCACACCGATGAGCCGCAGCAGCAGCAGCAGCAGCAGGGGCAGGAGAAGCAGCAGCAGCAGCAGCAGCAGCAGCAGCAGCAGCAGCGTAGCGTCTCTGCACGCATCGAGCTCGTGGCTGTTGATGGGGCCCCAGTGGTTGGGGGGAGCAGCAGCAGCAGCAGCAGCAGCAGCATGACGGAGGAGCTGTCGCTGCATTTGTCTCGTCGGTGGGAGGAGCCGCAGCTCAAGTGGCTGCAGACGGAACTGCAGCAGCAGCAGCAGCAGCAGCAGCAGTGGGATGCAGCAGATGCGCTGTGTGCGTCTGCTGCAGCAACTGTCTCCTCAGGTGTCTCCGTTCTAATTGAAGATTTCGTCTGTCTCGATTTCCAGCGCCTCGTGGCTGCAGCAGCAGCAGGTGCTGCTGCTGCAGGCAGCAGCAGCAGCAGCAGCAGCAGCGAACAGGCCTTGCAACTCCAGACAATGGTGCGGCAGCCCATGCAGCGGGTGCTGCTTGTCCAGCAGCAGCTGCAGCAAGTTGAGGGAATGTCTCTCCGTCTCTTTGCTGCAGTATTAGTGGAGGCGCAGCAGCATTGGCAGCACTGCAAGCGCATGCGCTGGCGGCTAGCAGCAGCACCAGCGGCAGCAGCAGCAGCAGGCACAGCAGCAGCAACAGCAGAGGGGTCGGCCACACAGCAGCAGCAGCAGCAGCAGTGGCAGCACCATCACCTGCAGCATTTCTCTCCGCCGCAGCAGCTGTTGCAGCAACAGCAACATCCGCTCCTGCTGCTGCAGCAGCAGCAGCAGCAGCAGCAGCAAGGAGGCTTGCGGAGTGCCTTTGGTTTTCCTTCGCGTATTGAAGGAGACGGGGCCTCCTCTCTCTTTGTGCAGCTGCGCTGCAGCACGTGGCTGCCGGCTGTTGCATGCGACGCCCTGTCTGTCTCTGTTGCAGCAGCAGCAGCAGCAGCAGCAGCACAAGGCGGGAAGGCTCAGCAGCAGCAGCAGCAGCAGCTCTTCGAGATCGACTGTGAGGGAGATCAAAGCCTCCTGGACAGCAGCAGCAGCAGCAGCAGCAGCAGCGACAGCCAAGAGGAACTTGCAGCAGCACCCCAGCCCAGGGGACGCAGCAGCAGCAGCAGCAGCCGCAGCAGCAGCACCAACAGAAACAGAAGCAGCACACGCTGCAGGGCAAGAAGCAAAAAGCGCTGTTTCCGTCTTGTTGACGAATTCAGAAACAGCGGCAGCAGCAGCAGCAGTGGCGGCAGCAGCGACGGTACGGGGAGGAGCAGCAGCAGCAGCAGCAGCAATAACAGCAGCAGCAGCCCCCCCCTGCCTTCAGCAGCCATTGACGAACGCCAAGGCAACAGACGCCCCAGCACCACACCCCTCAACAAGTGCCCCAGATGCACCGGGAGTGGCAGCAACAGCAGCAGCAGCAGCAGCAGCAGCAGCAGCAGCAGCAGCCGCGTGCTTTGGTACTGGCGGTTTGTGGGGCTTCGTAGGCCGCAGCAGCTCGCAGCGCCGGCAGCTGAGTGCGCTGGGGTGTACGGACGACTGGTGGAGTACCTGCACCCTCTAGCGAACCGTTTGCTGCAGCAGCAGCAGCAGCAGCAGCAACAGGAGCAACAGCAGCAGCAGCAGCAGCACGTCGGGGTGGAGGTGCAGCAGCTGCTGCACAGCAGCAGCTGCAGCACCGCTCTTGATGGACTGGCGTACGCGGGGAGCTGTATAGACACCCCAGAGAGTGCCCTGTTGCTTGCTGCTTCACCGAAGGCTGCAGCAACAACAGGAGCAGCAGCAACAGCAGCAGCAACAGCAACAGCAGAAGGTGAAGGCTCTGAAGGGAAGCAGCTGTGGCCTTTCGGGTGTTTGTCTCGTGCAGCGCAGTGGATCGAGGAACGCCGAACACCCGCCAAGGCAGCAAGAGCAGCAGCAGCAGCAGCAGCAGCAGCAGCAGCAGGAGACAGTGCATGCATAAGGGAGGTGCCAGAAGGCCTTCACCGAGTGCCGGGAGAAGCAGCAGCAACAAGCTTGCTGCTGTCTCTAGCTGCTCATTTGCAGCGGGTAGGGAGCCCACTGGCCGGAACCCCACATGGCATCAGCAGCAGCAGCAGCAGCAGCAGCAGCAAGAATGTTTGTGGATCGGGTGGGACCCTCTCAAGCCCCGGTGCGGCTGTCTCCCTCGCGGTTTGCTTCTTAGCAGCAGCCGATGCTACTTGCAGGGAAGGACGCTGCTGTTGCAGCAGCAGCAGCAGCAGCAACTGCAGCGAGGGGCCTATCAACTGCGGCTGCCTGTGTCAGCATGTGGGGGGCCGCACTGTCTCCTTATTTTGCTGCTGCTGCAGCGCAGTAGTTGAGGATTTCTTCAGTTTGCTGCAGTACCTCGCCCACAGGCGGCATCCAGCAGCAGCAGCAGCAGCAGCAGCAGCTGGAGCGGCAGCAGCCGCAGCAGCAGCGCAGCAGTCGAGCC